AGAAAGCTAGAGGATGAGAAATGCTTGCTGGCCGAAATTTGCTGGTTGTTCCTCTCTTGTTAATTTTGAAATTTTGATGTTATTTTGGTGCAATAATGCTTGATATATGTTGGTGGTTATGTGTATGAAATATCTTCCAAAAAGCTTTCTATTTGGTTGTGTAAAAGTGGAGTGAAATTGAGGAAGAAATCTGGAATTTTTCTGATCAGGTGACCCCAACCAGTGTTCACATTTTTGGTCATAACTTTTTGTTTGAGAGTTCAAATCGAGTGTTGTTTGTGGCATCCAAAACTAGACTCCGAGATCTTTCCGTTGGTATAAAATGTACCTCCTAACTAGTTTCCTATGAGCCGTAGTGAACCGGCAAAAATAACTGAAATTTTTCACTGCATTCATCCAAGAAACAGTCTTAGCTGCAGTTTGTAGCTCAATTTTGCCTATCTTGCAAAACGAATTTTAAGACAGTTCCTTCTAGTGATTTTCATAATTTTGAATCTAGTTTTCAATTCCACAAACCACACTAAATTTTGAGTTGCGTAGCTCTAGTTATGATCAGATTCTTAAACTCTATCAAGTATGTCAGAACTGGAATTTCGTAAAACAGGTCCTAAAAATCAGTTTTCTTAGAACTGTTGTATCTTGGAGTAGAAAGGTCCGAATTGGGTTCTGTTTGTTGCATTTGAAACTAGGTTTGGATTTTTAATTGTGGTATAAATTTCAAGGTCTAATTCCATTTCTACGAATTTTTTCGAATTTCCAAACTTCACTGAATTTGCAAGCCTGTTTTGCTCTGTCCTGTCTAGAACAGTGGCTTTGAGTTAAAATTTGAATAACTTGGAATTGGAGTCTGAGAAAAGTATCTTCTATAAAGTTTTAGTTCTTTAAGTCTAATTTTCAACGGTATAAAGTTTTCAATTTTTGGACTTACGAAACTCGAGATACGATTTTTTCAAGTAGTGCCACTCTAACTTGGAAATTTTCTGTTTCAAACAAATACTCCTTTTAAGAACTTTCCACCTTCCTTTGTAATTGTTGGACTATTTTAGGTGTAATTTCATGATTGAATACACGGTTCCTTGGAACTTTAAACTTTCATTTTAAATCTTGGTCTCCGAAGGTCAAACCTCTCTTGATGCATTTTCTTGGTCATATAACTCCCTTGATTTATAGCACCTCTCTTCATACTTAAATTAGGGATTTCAACCCCTATTCTTATGGCCCCGATTTCCATGAGTTTGAATTCTAAAAAGGGAAAGTTTTGACTAGAGTAATTCTTGGTGAATTGCACTAGTTTTATACTTGAACCTTGGAACCTTAACCTTGACATTTACTTTGAATACGAGTGGAGTTTTGAACGAGTTTGGACTCCATTAGTTTGAAAATGTGAACGTTCCTTATATTTTAACTTTTGGGTCATGAGATTTGAAGTTTTGAGAGATGAAAATCATTTACCCTTTTCCTTGATTTTCGTGACGAAAGTGAAAAACGGTATTTTTCTCTTGGATTGAGATTTACTTACCACGACTTGAATCAAAAACGACCTTCGAGCTCTCTTTGAACATTATTCCAATGTTTTAACTAGAAAAGCTTCTTTAATTTGACTCGAACTTGTGACTTGGAGAGTGGGTAGCACAAAAATATCTTTCTTTTAAACCTTGGTCGAGCACCTAGGTAATTATGATTGTACATGTCTCAAGTGGTCACGAGAACGCTGAAGAGCTCGTCTGACTTCTCACTTCACTCTTGTTTTTGCCCTTGACTTGTGGTGAGTGTCAAGTGCATGTTAAATGCTTATGTGTTTGAAATGATATGTGTACAAGCGCTAGATATGATACTTGAACTTGCCGAGACGAGGGTATACTTTATCACCCTCGTCCTCTCTCTCTCTCTCTCTCTCTCTCTCTCTCTCTCTCTCCTGATTACATGATACTTGTTAAATGAATATATATGATTTGCACTTGTACATGAACATGTTTAACTCGTGAGCATTGAGTGGTTCGATGTATCACGCCCTAATTGGGTGGGAGGTACCGCTTATCCCGACTCAGTGCTATGATCGAGTGTAAGTCGATTGGAACGTTGTCTCATCGACCCATCATGTTTGTGGGGATGCCCCAACCCATTGGCTAACCTTGTAATTCGAGCCGACAAGAGCTTGGTCGAGGTACTTGGTGAACCTTGGGAAATATTATAGTTTGATCTTTTGAGATCTCGCTAGGCATACTTGAATAGTATCGCCACTTTATACATGTTTGGTTACAGATCCAAGTGGGTGCTATGTTGGTCAGAGGTAGTAAGTGGAGTGCTACGGTCCCATTACTACTTGGGTTGACGGAGGGTCAACCCTGAATGGCAACTTGATCGAGATGTGGAAATAGCTCCTGAGAACTCCCGTATCCTTATATGTGTGTTATTTCCAACTTGTGCACTTAAATGAAATGTCATGTTTAAAGTTTCTTTTAAACATGTTATTTGATTGATTGGTGTTACGTGCTTGCTTGTCTGTTTTCTTGGCCTCATTGAACGTTCGCTCACCCCTTTAAGTTGTTTTCCTTAACTGGCTTTGGAGGTGGATTGGAGGATCTAGACTAGCATTTTGGTGGAAGCTAGTATATTTTTGTATGATATTAGTGACTCTTATATTGTAACTTTTGTTACTGTTGGTTGGTGGATTGTATTCGTATTTGTTAACCCTTGAAGTTATGGCTTGTATATTCGAAGTACTTTTATTTAAGTCGTTGGATGTTTTGTGACTCTATATTAAGATTGAACAAGTGCGTGAGTCCTGACGAGAGTTGGGCAGGCGTTTCACTGATACCCTAGGGTTCGCCCTAGGGAGAGATGGGGGCATCACAGATTAAACTTTAATCAAGTAACTTATAGATGAAAACTAGCTTCTAGCAAAACACTATGGTCACCCAAATAGAGAAGAGTCAAGTACATGATTACACCTTTTCATGCACGTGTACTATATAATTATTATCTTTCACCATGTTTATCTCACACTAATTTAGAGTATAGAATATGTGCCAAGTCTAATGATTAATGATTTTGTTATTACCAAAATATAACTCTCAATGAATATACTTAGATACAACTAACTAAGATGTTTGTACTTACTTAAGATTTCTTGAGTTATATTTTAAACAAGTGGCCATTAATTAGATAATTCCTCTACCATTAGAGGTGATGAATCCTTATAGATTATCTATCCTTCCATGCTTCATGTTATACCCAATCTCTAATGATATGATTACCATAATACAGCATGAAGATCGAAAGACTCAAAATACAATAATTCACACTCAAGATATTATGATAATCTTAAGTAGTAAGATCACTTATACACATGGCATATATAGGATATATCATTGACACTCAAATAGCTATTCATATAACATTCTATATACAAATCAATCTAGTGAATTTGATCTTATTAAACATCCAAATAAATATTTTTTGTCTCACTACATCATAGTAAATGAGATCTATTACTTCTTTCAAAAGAAAGAAACATAATTTGTGCTAGTCTATTCGTATTAATAGTGTCTCATCTATTAATACTATATCTAGAGATCTTTAAGAATAAAATGTGGTTTTAACCTCAATTAAAATTTGTCCACAATCACATCATGACATCAACCAACCAGCCAGTAGCCTAGCATCCATATGTCCAAGATTCCAAATGCTATAAAATGCCATCTGATTCCATCATGACCAAGTCCTACCATCGAGTTTATTCATACCGATTGCAACCAATTTCAAGTTATCAGGTGTGGCTCTGTTCTTCTTCTTCAATCGAAGGAAACGAGCTCCAACGCCAACAGCTTTGCTTCGAACAACTTCACACTTCAACGATGGAGCTGCTGTTCGTCGGTGATGCAATCAAGCTCCACTAGCTTAGCTTCGAACAGGAGGAGTTTGCTTGGTTTCTCGGTCACAGAAGGAGTTTGAAGACTAGACCACAAGGAGTTCATGAGAAATTAGAAGAAAATGAACCCTAATTTCTTATTACTTAATCCCAAATCCCAAATTCCGAATTTAGATTTTATTTAAGTTTAATCCACATCCAAAAGACTCTTACATCCTTAAAAAAATTTTGATACGAATAGTTATTTGTTGTAAATTTAACAACTTTGATAGTAGGGAAATTTAATAATTAATATATAGTATATAATTAAAATATAAAAACTCGATTAGGCTCGTTGAGCCATTGAGTTTGGGATATTTATACTCGAACTTGACTCGTGACGTCTATCGAGCACCTCAAACTTGAGTTGAACTCGGTCAATGCCAAGTTTGAGCAAGCAATTGACTGAGCTACTCGTGAGCCGCTCGAATCGATTACAGCCCTATTCATTATACATAAATAGTTAAAGTAAATCGATAAAACCCTAGACCTTAGGGCACACATACTAACAACTTGCAATGAGAAATATGGTTGATAATAAACTTCTTAACAGGTTTTTTGTACTATTGCTGAAGAAAAGGCTTAATCAATTCCAAAATTAAAAATTTCATTTTTAGTTTAGACCTTTTTTCTTTGTTGTTTGTCTTTCCTTCCTTTGTTGTTGTGTTAGTGTTTAAGTGCTTACCTTGTTTTGTTTATGCATCGTTCTTCGCGTGGTCTCTTATTCAGAGGTTGAGATGATTGTATGTACACAAAGGAGAATCCAAGTAGACAATTTTAAGAATACATAATTGTTCCTCCAACCCTTTTCTCCAAAATTGAAAAAGATGGGGAGTTTGATAACGTTTGAAGATTTTCAAACAATTGCATGTTAGCCTCATGGTTCAAAAACTCATAATGCAAATGATCCCGGCATTCTTAGATCTTTTGAGAAAATAATATAAATACTTCAATAAGAAAATAACTTGATTTTTATTTTAAAAAAAGGAAAAATATTTAAAGAAGACAATTTAAAACCTTTGAGGAATAATACATAAATAAACAAATAAAGACGAATAAAAAAGCAATTTTATAAAACGAGGAGCTCAAATTGATTAACTTTGGGACTGATAAACCAGTGCTTCTTACTGCGTAGAGAAAACACTAACCAACCAACAAAAGAACAGTCTGTCAGGCCAATAGAAACCAATGCATACCGTGGAAATTTATACAGCATAAACGGTTTAGTGTATGAAAGTAAGTTTGGTGAAAATACAAGTTCACACATTACTCGCGTGATACATAACACTCCAGTTGGTCTGCAACTCATGAAGTCAGTTTATATCCGAAATGCTGGTAGAGAGCTGAATTTTTCATTTGAGCTGCCTTCTAGATTTGTTATGACCCTTGGATCAAGTTTCCTGTACGGCCACCCTCGCGGAGCCTCAAAGTAAGATTTCATTAGTCCATTCTTCTTGTGATTTTGGAATGAAACCAACCAGAACGATTTCTTGGTGCACCAGTCACAACAACAATGGTTTTATCAATTGCAAAGTTCGTTACAGGGACCACTGTCTCTGGTCCTGTTTCAGATTTGGCATCAACCTAAAAATATGACTGATTTGGCATCAACCGGAAAAATATCACTGAACTCTCCGGCCTTTATTCCTCCACCATGCAGCTGAGAGCTGCTCAAGAAAATGGATAAAATCAACTTAAATTTTCCAAGTCTTCTCACGCATAAAGACAAGAGGCTACGATACTGACACGAATGCCATCCAGCTCAAAGAATACATCATTCACCCGAAACATACAACAGTCTGAGCTCTCTTTTTGAGCCCTCTCGTGAGCAGATTATGTGCTCTGTTTATAGGTGCAGACAGAAAAATCCTTTGGGTTGATCACTGTGAAGAATCTTGAGTATTGCTTCAGCAACTACCACTCTGGTACCTTTATAAATGATCTCTTTCAGCAATACATTGGTCCCTGAAACCCTGAAGCCTCAAAATCTGATGAATGGCAAAGTTAGGTTTCAGATTTATATTGTTGACATGTTGTATAGAAAGAATTTCACATTTTGGTGCTAAATCAAGAAAGTTACAGAACATAGAATATGATGCAGCTGCAATGTATTAAAAGTAAAATTTGACTTCATGCTTAACTGTGGACGATGCTGAGATTAAAAGCATTCTTGCAATTCAGCTAACACAAGCTTTCTCTATGCGCACAATAAGTGACACCTTGCAGCAAAGTAAGCATGATTACAGTAAGATATATGCCTAAATATATACAAGGAATTTCATAAGACAAGCGAACGGTCTTCAATGTAAGTGATACTACTTCATAACAGGTTCTCTCTTATATAAAATCAATATGAATAAATCAAGTAGATTTCTAGTTTATCTCCATACTACCACCTGGTTGAGGAAAGACTAGTAGAAGTTGAAGTGTACTTTTTTCTTTCTAATTTTTAAGTAAGTTGAAGTTGCATTTGTTTTGGAATGGCGAGGATTCAATAACTAGCACTGCACTGCATTTGATTGAGTTGGAGTCTCTTTTTGTTATGAATGATGATTTCTATCAATTTGTTTTAGAAGTGGATCCCTAATGCTCTCTCCATCATTATCTTGCCTATTTTAAAAGATGTGATGCAAGTTCTTATCTCTCTTAACCAAAAAGAACTCAACATTTTTGCACACAAATTTACTAATTTAATTGGTTATTGTTTCTCTTCATCTTATGTAGGACCTAATGGCAATGACAGACAAAGAACTGATACTGGCCTTAAGCATGCTAGCATAGCTGATACAACAACTAGTTAGATTTTAAATATGAGGAATCCACAAAGTCAGATTTGTTTTATATATGACGGTAAACGGAATGACCTCTTTAGGCGGGTATATGAAAAATGGATTACTTTTGAACAGCACTTTTCTCATGTCAAATTGGAAACTAAACTAAATTTACTTGAGGTTCTTAAGAAGATTGTCAAAGAGTTGCTTGAAAGACATAATAGATGATAGTAGCATTCTAAAATGGTCAAGTAGGCTGCAGATGGGTCGTCCTTTTTTCTAGATTACAGAATACACATATATCTGTTAACTCCGGAGATGAACGTAATTGTATGCATCAAATTGCATTTTTTTTTCAGTTTCAATCTAACTCCAACTAGAAAGAAGCTACTTACTCGAGGTTTCCATTCAGAAAACAACAGAAAATATATGCACTGGATGATCAGAATTTTCACCACAATAATAGAAGTTTCAGAAGTGAACCTGAACTGGCTTGACTTTCCTGCTGGAAGGCTGTACAGGAACAAAATCTCTTGCTAACAAAAATTGCCTCCTTTCTTTAGGACAGAAACTCCAGATAGGCATTAACTGTCCCAAACCTATCCAGTTTCTGTAAGATGATGCAAAGTTTACAATATTGAAAACTGGATTCATACATAAACTCCATAACTGACAAGGCCAAATTATAAAATAATGACGAATACCTGGAAACAAATTATTGAAGGGCCTAGTGGCTAATGTTGAGGCCTGAGGAATTAGAGATCCTGAGTTCAAATCCCCCTCCAGCTTCTTAAATCACCTGGTGCCAGAGAAAATTAATTATTGATGAGTAGCAAAGAGATGATTCTGGTTGATGATGTCCAAAAGGAGAATTCAAGATTTGAATAGGAATTTTCTTTCACTTAACTTGTAAGTTTTGTGAGCTTTTCTAACGCAAAATTGAAGTGATCTATGCTTTACAAACCTTTGAGGAAGCTTCCTTGAGAATAGGTACTCATAAATCATTGCTAAGTAGATAAGAATAAAATTATGCTACAAATGGCAGTCAGAGTTTAAGCAGACACTTGATTTGTCAAAAATCAAGTAAATCCTCATATACAAGTTTTCTCTGGTGTCTATAGCTCTCGATAAAATTTGTAATATTATCCCATTATTGATACTTGACAAAAGTTCTCTCTACTTCCTATCACCCTGAATGATTTTAGATAAAAAGCAAAACATAACAAATAGTACAAATAGTAACTAATAGCAACAAATAGTTACTGGAATATAAAATACAAATTGAGACAAAAGCTTTTGAAAGAGTAATTGAGTACAACGTAAAGCCACCAAGGAAGGTAAAATCATCCAAGGCAAACCAATTTTTTGTTTCATTTTTTCTCCTCAATGTACTCACCTGGTTATCTTCAATTAGAAAATCTTTTTATCAAGCTCAAATGCGTAGCTTATTTTGAATCTATTTTTAATTTTTTTGGGTAAATATCGGCCCATTTTTTTCCCATGATGTGACTGTACTGTAGAATTTCACATGCTAAGGATCTGCAACATCATGTCTTTCCCTTTTTGGTAAGTCTGATCAATGAAAAGGTAGGAATTACCTGGTGTTATTAAGTTACATGGCAATGTTATCGAACCCAGGGTCAACAAGCATCAGCATTCTCCTGAAACATGATAATAAAAATTATTGGAAACCTAATTTTTGACATAATAATTATTAAGTAACACGAGCAGCATAGAAACACAAGCAAAGAGCAAAGGAACTGGGTTATTTACCAAAAGAAAATTCTCAAGTGTTGAATGTGCTTGTCCCGATCAAGAAAAAGTCCAAGTTCAGAAAATTCACGATGTGGGATCATTTAAGTTGTCAATTTCTCATCACAACAATGACAAGTCCCAATGTGCTCAAGATATACAAGATCTTTCTTGTAACAATCAGATTCTGCCTTTAATTTCTCCATTTTATCATACACCGATCGAAAGATTGTCAGACACTGCCCTTTCTTTTATAAGCAGTAGATCATGTACAATATGAGCCTCATGAACTTTGCTGTCTGCACGTAATAACCACATCAACCAACCAAGGTTGTAACGACAGGGAATGTACCCATGGGCAAGCATATCATCAACTATCTTCAGTGCATGATCGCTCGAATAAAGAGCACAGAAGACATTGAGTAGATTTTCATAAGATGCCCGAGAAGGAGAGAAGCCCCTTTTCTGCATCATATGTGAGACAGATAATGCATCTTGGAGCCTCCCAACCTTACAAAAGCCTTTAATCAAAGTATCATACACAACCCTATCAGGAAAACAACCACTTGCATGCATCCTGTTAAATAACCCAACAGCAAGATCAGTTTCACCAATTCGGAGATGTCCATCTATCAAAATGGTGAAAGTGACCTCATTAGGACGTAATCCTTCACTTTGCATAAGATCAAGATAAGTGTACGCCTCTTCCATCCTTTGTGTCCAACAAAACCCAGAAATCCTGGCATTGTACAGAAACAAGTTTGGCATAAATGCAGCATTTTTAATTTTCTGGTTCAATCTCAATGCAAAAATTTTCATATCTTCCTGTGAACGTATTGCTACTTTCAAGGTTGTATCGCTTGGCAACATGATTTGCTTATGGAGTAATCGGAATAACATTTCCTTTTCCTTCTTAGACTTTTCTTTCCCTTTTATCTTTTTCCACCTTTTAGGTGGCTGTTTCCTTTCATTGCGCCTGATGTTTCTACAAATGCCACTAGCCAATGTAATATGTGTGATCAAGTCAGGGTCAATACAGCTTCTTTCCATCAAATCAACCAGCCTCAATGCAAATTCAAACTCCCTCTTCCTCAAGAATTGATTAATTAGAGAGGTGTAAAAAACTGCATTAGGCATAATACCCTCTTCCAACATTCTATCAATGTAGACGCAACCTTTCTCAGTCATGTTTTTCTTAATCAACCCATTTATAAGGGCAGTATAAGAATGGGAACTTGGTTGTACACCAAGTTGTAACATCTTCTCAAATAGCTTGTGTGCTTTAGTAGCTAGTCCACTCTTTGAATAAGCATTGATCATTGTGGCGTAGATAGTTTCATCAGGTTCTATACCAGCCTCGAGCATCCTATGAAACAACTTTTCTGCCTCTAATACTCTAAATTCTCTACCCAAATGACTTATGATAGTATCATACACAGAAACATCTTGTTTCAGTCCCCTTTCTTCCATTTCATCCAGAAGATCAAAGGCTGATAGAAAGTCACCCCGTTTACAGTGCTCATGAACCATTATTAGGAATGTGCCTATGTCCGGAACAAGTCCATGATCTTGCATAATATCCACAAGGTATTTGGCATCTTCAACTAACCCTTCCTGATAAAGACACTTAATCAAGGAGTTATAGGCAGAAAGAAGAGGCAGGAAACCGTGACTTACCATTCTATCAATACAGGGAAGAGCATAATCAAGTTTTCCTCCATAGCACAATGCAATCATGTATATACTAAAAGCCGTTTCACCAAAAGACAAGTTGATTTCAGAAATTTCCTCAAGAACCTTTTCGATTTCATCCATGATATCCCTCGTATGTTTGAGGCTAGTAGAGGTAGAAAAGGTTGAAATATCCCTATGACAACCATTCCTAGCAATAGCCTGAACAACATCTAACGCTAGCAGAAGCTCAGATCCTTTTGGGTGGTTCTTTACAAGGGTAAAAAAGAGCACGTGGTCTGGAACTAGTCCATTATCTAGCATCATATTGAACAATTGGTTCACTTGTCGCAATCTATTCTCCTCAAACAGGGCAGCAATTAAGACTGTGTAAGTATGTACAGCAGGCTTTATATTGCACCGAATCATGTTATTCAAGAGTGTCAGTGCGCAGTCAACCTTGTGGTCCTTACAGTACTTGCTAATCATGATTTGGTAAGTTACACTATCAGGCTGTAACCCCGACTCTGACATCAGGTTATGCAACACCCAACCTTTGTCAAACAAACCCAAATTCAGATACCCGTCAATCAATGTGTTGTAAGTATGGTTATCTGGTTCACATCCCATTTTAATCATTCTAAGAAACAATCTCATGGCCAATTTTATTTTCTTTTTTCTGCAGTACTGATAAATGAGAGAAGTGTACAGCACTTTATCCATGTAAAACCCATACGATTCCATTTCTGCACTCAACAACTCTGCCTCCTCTACCCGTCCCCTCTTACAGAATTCAAAAATTAATGACTTGCACAAATGTACAGTTGGAGGCACTCCGTTATCACACATTACATCAAACACATACAGCGCCTCATCCAAGTATCCTCGGTAGCACAAATTATCAACCAACCTATTATAACACATGGAATTAAGCAAAATATCAGCGTCACTGATCTTTACAAAATAACCAAACCCCTCTAAATATCTATCCTGAGCACAAAATTGTTTAATCAATGCACTGCAAGCTCCATGAATTGGTAAAGATTTCATTCCAAAAACCTTATCAATACACAACTTTGCTTCGTCTAACTTTCCCAACTCACAATAACAAATAATCATAGAATTCAACAAAGACAAATTCCGCTTGATGTCTCTACTCAAAAGAAAATCTACATACAATGACTCCGCCAACTGGGCTTCACCACAACAAACAAGTTTCTGAATAAGAAAACTGTAACTATCTGAATCAAGCTCCATACCTCGCTCTACAGCAAAATTAATGGCAGACAAGGCTTCAGGTATCGATGAACATTGAGAAATTATTCTTTGAATAACTCCCTGAGCACAGGAAAACAAACCGTGGCCCAGGAGCTGCTCTACTAAAGAGAAGCAGAGAGTTTTGTGGTCAGCAGGAGGTGCTGAATAAACTGAGGGAACTGGAACCTCCTCCACCTGCAGAGGGCAAGATGCCAAGTTTCTGCTTTGTCTCAACAGAAAACACAGATTGGTCGAACACAGCCTATACTTGATCATGCTTAAAATCAACCATCTACTATCTTTTGCAGTAATTAAATTGGGACAAAAATCGGAGACAGAAATGATTTCTTTTTCCAAAACGAGAAATCCAAGTAACAATAAGATTGAGCAATTGCCACAAGTAAAAAGAGAATACCGACAAAATTGACATAAACCCAGGTGAAGAATACGCTGAATTGCGCGAATTCGGGGACCAAAGTGGTTGGGCTTTTTCCTAGGTTGGAAGGGGATAGGAGGATTTAGCAAGGGTTTTAGGGTCGTACAGTTATGGCGGGGAAGAAACGGCCGAGTTTGGATTTGGCTATTGTTTTGAAATCTTTTCTGTTCTCTTCAATTGTTTTTCTGTTTTGGGAACATTTTCTAAGTCATTATAATTACTAGTAATTATTGTGGTAAATTCTGTAATGTATTCACATAATTCAAAGATAGGTGTGAAGAGTAAAATATATGGGAAAGAAGTTGGCACGTATCAACCTGACAGGTACGGACAATGAATGAATATTTGTAAAAAGGCAAGTGGTGACCTAAAACCGCGGTTTGGAAATGTGAATAGCGTACTGCAGAAGTTCGAAATGTATGGGGGTGTGACGGAATTAACATAAATATAATGGGTCTACGAATAAAACACCGAAAATGAAGCATAAGCAGTACTATCTACTTATGGGCATTACATCAACAAAATGCTTTTTATTTATGGGCATTTTACTCTGAAGCATAACATTTATGTAAAATACATAAATATTTGTAACTAAAATTGAAAAACTGTTACACTAATATTTTTACGAAAGGAAAATTGATTGTTCTGTATTAAACATAAATTGATTTTTGTGAAAGCAAAAAGCATATTGCCCATAACATACCTGCTCTTTATGATTTTTTTGCATTACATGAATAAAAGGCTAGCTATTTATGAGCATTCCACTCCGAATCACTACATTTATGTAAAATACATAAATGTTTGTAACTAAAATTGAAAAAGTGTTACACTAATATTTTTACAAAAGGGAAACTAGTAAATTTTACCAAATTTTAAATATGTGAAAGTAAAAAAGTTTTTGCCCATAACATACCAGCTCTTTATGAATTTTTTGCATTACATCAACAAAATATTAACTATTTATGGATATTTTACTGTGAATCATATTTAGGTAAAATACATAAATGTCTGTAACTAAAATTGAAACAGTATTATATTTAGATTTTTACGAAAGGGAAACTGGTATATTTTGCATTTTACAAATTTTAAATATATGAAAGTAAAAAAGATTGCGCCCATAACGTACCAGCACTTTATGAAAATTTTAAGCATTACATGAACAAAATACAAGCTATTTATGGGCATTTTACTCTGAATCACTATATTTATGTAAACTACATAAATGTTTGTAACTAAAATTGAAAAAGTGTTACACCTATATTTTTACAAAAGAGAAACAGGTAAAATTTGTATTTAACATAAATTAAATATGTTAAAGTAATATTAAAGGTGATTTTATTAGTTACTTAATTTGTTGGTAAGAAACAAGGTTTCTTTTACAAAAAATTTTTATTGGATTTTTTCAAATAATTAGGATATAAAGGTAAATTTTCACAATCTTTTGTTAGCAATAGACTCCAATTTTCTCCTAGGCAATGACGAAACCAATATTTTTTCCTTGGAGGAAGGGCCAAAATGATTGACAAATAAATTTATTTTAATATGTTATGTTCAAAATAATTTTCATCTATTTAAATATATGGCATCCTAAAATACCAAATATTAACTTTAATTATAAAGGTATGTCTATTTAATAAATATGTAGTATAGTCATAACTAAAATTAAGACAAGAAATAACATTTGATTAAATATTTTATAGGAAAAAATGCACTTTTCATCCTCAAAATTTGGATGGTTGACCAATTTCATTCTCAAAGTTTCACCCCAAACATATTGCATCCTCAAAGTTTCGTAATTTTGGCCAATTAAGGACAATTGACGGGAAATGAAGAATTGATCGTTAGAACCAACGATTTTACCCAACAAAAAATGGGTAAAATCGAATGGAGTCATTTTTAATGGAACAATTGCAACGGACAAAAAGCTCAATTCTTCTCCTTCTTCCCTCTGCCTTTCTGCAACCGCAAAAATTTTTTGTCAATCTCTGGAGTTTTAACGACCGTTATATAACTTTCAAAACAAATAAATTCATTCTAAATTTTTATTTGGAATTATTTCATAAACCAAATCGCGGTCACTTTCTGTAAAGTATCACTTTCCCATAAAAGACCAGCTCTTTATGCCTTTCCTCCATTATAGGAACAGAGTACCCGTTTTTTCATAACTAAATTTATTTATCGAATAAAATAAAAATAAATCCATTTTCTAATAAAGAGACCAGCTCTTTATGGCTTACCTCCATTATAAGAACAGAGTACCTATTTTCTCATAAACAAATTTATTTATCAGATAAAATAAAAATAAATTCGTTTTTTAATAAAAAAACCAGCTCTTTATGACTTTTTCCCATTTTAAGATCAGAGTACCAATTTTTTTATAAACAAATTTATTTATCAGATAAAATAAAAATAAACCCGTTTTTTAATAAAAGACCAGCTCTTTATGATTTTCCTCCATTATAAGAACAGAGTACTCATTTTGAAGGTAAAAAGGAATTTGTTTATCGGATAAAATAAAAATAAACTTATTTTTCAATAAAACACCAACTCTTTATGACCTTTCTCCATTATAAGAAAAGAGTGTCCATTTTATCATAAATAAATTTATGTAACAAATTGTCATGGCCCTTGTTCCTTCACATGTGTGTAGGGACGGTAATTGTCATGGATTGCTTACAACTTATTCCATCCAAACCTTTTCTTATAATGGAGTTTCTGATTTTATCCAAGTAATAAATTATTTCCGTGAAAAAAAAATAAAAACTTTATGGAGAAAAGCCACAAAGAACTGGTGTTTTATTGGAAACCATCGACTCCTTACTAAAGACGATCAAATGCGGTTAGATGATTTTCTTGCAAGAAAGTTGCCAAAAACAGTTTTGTGACTATAGTTGCTACTTTTTTTCAACCATTTTTTTAGCAAGAGGTATCATTAATGTCAATATTGAGATATAGCAAAAGTTTTATACGAAATAACAAACCAATTTGTCATTACAAATGCAAAACGAGCAACAATATATTACAATCAATACTATCAACAGTACAAAGCATAAAGATACTCAAACCAAATCCTAATTAGGCTTTAATATGTACAACCAAAATTGTCAGGAACAACAAATGCTAAGATAGACCATGTGCCGATATACAATGAGTATCATGTTTGCATTAATTGGCGAAATCCATAATTGAAGTAGCTTGTAAGAGCTTCATAGCCAGGTTTACTACAATCCACCATCAACCTACAGAGTCCAATGAAAAAAAAAATTATTAAACAGAAATTTACATTGATAGTTAGATAAATTAAACCTGCATTAGCCTAATATATCAACTAGGACATTGATCCTTATATTGTTCCATGAAAAGAAATGAAAATGAGGGACTTTTAAAAAATGCTAAGGATCACTTTTATTAACCACAAGTACAAAATGTGAACTGAATTTCAAACTACAAGTTGGTAGCATGTACTTAAGATGAAGAAATCATTATGAACCCAATTAACATGAAATCAATTGCAAAGTAACGCCAAGACTGTTTCCTTTAACACAAAAATCGTAAATGCATTCACCCATTGCAGTTCATTCAAAATTGAGAAGTAGCTAAGCAAGCGTAACATTCGAACTTAGAAAGCATGAAATGAACTTGAAAAAAGGAATTACATTTTACTGCCAACAAGGCTTCTAAGGTGCAAATAGCCAATGAGATCCTTTTTTCTAATCTTTATTATTTTTGTCCAGTATGTTCACTTAAAAGAAAACTATATTCTATTTTCTAGATCTTTAGTTAAGAAATAAACAATAAAATTAAATCATCAAATAGCAAAAAAATCAAATGCATTAAAACTTGCACAAACATTCAGGAGGAAGAGAAGTTATCACCTAAGAGAATCACATGCAGTGCAATAAAAGCATTAGAATTAGCCCAAAGGAAGGGAAAAAATATGCTTCACGAATGGTCCTACAACACTGAAACATAAAACAATAGATAATGATGAAGCACCACAAACTAGTCCAAAGACAAGCAAAATCACCTACACCATCAATCCTAATCACCAATCGGAGTAGAAAATCATCCAAAATTTCAGTTAAGTCACTGAATAAATAAGGCTTCAATCTTAGAACATGTCATAATCAGTGTTTAGCATTCAAAAATTGTGTAAGATACAGGGGGTTTGGGACAATAAAAGGGGACAATTAGGGCTGGGCAACGAGAGGTACGGAGGAATGGAAGCGAGAGTGGTAAAGAGAGGAGATTGAACAATACAACAAAGCAGGGAAAAATCAAATCGTGGAAGGAAGAATTCTAGTATGAAAATATGTTGGAGACTACCTGAAATCTTAGATCTGAAATTTTGACGGGCAGTTTTCATTTTGCCTTCCAGTAAGACCCCTTTCTCTACTCCAACCGAGATGCCCATTCATTCTAATCCACTGAAGTAGATGTTTACAATTTCAAAAAGTTTATCTTGCGATTGTTAAATTGACCAAAAATGCAAGAAAAAGGCAATTGACAAAACAGAGATGAAAATAACATATCTACTTAAAAAACCTACACCATCGCTTTTCCTTGAAGTTTGCCATTGCATCGGAAGGGTCTTTAAAGTGTGTCCATGATTGTATAAATTTAGATCTGGGTGCTAGAGAGGAAGAGGGGAACCATATGTCTACGGAAAACTGAAAATTGATAGAAAGGGAAAGAGAAATAGAAGGAGAAAGGTGCAGAGGAGGTTGCGATTGAACTTTCGAGGGCTCTGATCTGAGAACAATATTTGAAAAAGTAGCCCTGCAAGTATGGAAGGCTTGGAATTCATGTGGTGCTACGCTTGACAAGTGCTGTGCCGGGAATGGTTAAAAAATTTTCAATGCACGGCTCTGCTAAAAATTGCAAGGGACCAAAATTTTGAAATTTTCACAAAAAAACACCCATGATTTTCCACCAATAACATGAAACTTTGGCCCACTCGAATCAGTATTTGGAGGGAAGCTTTTCCGCACTCATTTTGGCTCCAATTTTTGATGAGGCATTATTGTCCTTTTCCTTGCTACAAGTCTCTTAATAGTGTCAAGCTTTCTACTTCTTGCTAAAGTTGTTGTCGTTAATACCCTTTTTGTTTTAGTAAACGGAGGAAAGTTATAAAGAACTAGTGTTTTATT